ACTTAATTTCTTAATATGGGATGAACATACATTACTCAAATTTGAGTCTTTTTATATCGTCCTTCTTAGGCCTTATCTAAAACTCCATACTCAACTTGCTGATGATCAAGCAACATATGAGACACTAAGCATAAATTTGAGTAAACATTGATAGTCTCATAAAAACAAGTAGAGGAAGAATCCAAAGTATTCCAACTACACAATAGCATCCACCATAATCCTAGATTAAAAACTCTAGCTCAACATGTTCAAAAGGAAAGTACACATTTCAGTAAACTAAAACATTGTTCTACAAGAAGAGTAAGAGAGGGAGAATCAAATCTAGAGTGAGAAAATGTCTTGTTGCAGCTTTTGAATCTTCCAGCTCTTGATTCCTCTTTTTTTCTCCTTTTTTGTTCTTGCCTCTTTTTGCCCAAAATGGCCTCTCCAAAATCCCACTCTTTTTCAGTGTAAAACTTTATACCCCTTTTTTTTTGCTTAGCTTACCCTAGAAATATTCATTATCTGACTTGGACAGTGCTGCAGCACTGGAAACTTGGTGCTGCAACACTGGAGGTTCTGTTTCCTTGTTTTTCTACTTCAAGCTGCCTTGCCCAGAGTTGCTCTAGACCTCACTTTCAGCTTCATTTTTTGTCACGATTCCTTTTGATTTGGGCCAAGTGCTAAACATCAAAGTTGTAGCTCATCCTCTCGGCTTTCCATTGGTTTAAAATTCACCACGATCGGACTTCTACAACTCAATTTATTCCTTAAAAACTTCAGCATGTTTGATTGCTTTTAAGCCTAATTGCACCCTCCTTTGCATTCATGTTCCAAGTCTTTGCATGTCCTTCAACATTAAGGGATTAAATAATCAGAGGCTCAATTGAGAGATTTTGACAAGAAATTAAGCTAAACTTGTATGAATAGAACTTGGCATCACATAAGTTAAATTATTTCTAAAAAAAAAATTAGAAACCACCTAAAAAAGATTAAAAAACTTAGCAAAATTCAAACTTCAAAAATATTCAAATAAAAAAAGTAAGGTTTTTTGGTGCAGTTATTTTTTCCTCTCTCAATCTCTACTTCTTGATTCTCTCTTTGAAAATCAGTTTTCCCCGTTCTTGAAGTTTTCTGAGATTTTGCAAAACATACTTTCTTGTGTCGAAGATGGTTCATCTTATAATTATAAATACTTGTGAATCAAATGAAATTACATGAAAAATAATACTGAAATAAATTATGAGAAGGATGAATTGGACAATAATAGTATATCTTTTCTGTCCAAGCCCACCCGATCATTGGACGGATTTACAAGCTGGAGGCAGCCATGCCCTTGGGCAGCTATATAATTTATTAGCAACCTTGGTGTTCTTCTTTCAAGTTGTGTGTTTTAATTTCATAACAAAAAAGGCAGAACAACTCCAAAGGAAACTACTTTTCTGAATTAATTTCTCTCTACATAATTCTTTCATTTCTTGATTCACTTGTTCTTGTTGGAATTTTTTTTTCTGATCAAAATCTTTTTCATATGGTAATGCTACCATATGTTGTTTTTTGACTCAAAAAGTATTTGGAGTAAGAAGCTGCTGGAAATCAAAGAATGCAGTGTGTGGTGGTAAGAAGTTGAACGAAGGCACAGTACAGAGACATGGTAGCTGCTTGCTGTGAAATTATGTGGTAGTTGTTTGTGCTTAGTGATCTTCGTATTAAACATCCAAATGCAGTGGAGCTTTACTGTGACAATCGATCAACATTGTCCACTTGTAAAAATCCCATACTTCATGACAAGACTAAGGACATTGCGATAGATTTCCATTTCATTAGAGAATAGATTTTAGCTGGGATCATTCCTCCAAAACATGTTCGTACTGAATTGTAGATAGTAGATTTACTTACAAAAGCTTTAAAACCAAGACAATTCTATGCTTTGTTAAGCAAGATGAGCATTTTGAACATTCATAGTCCTACACTTGATTGCAATGCTGCACATGTTGCAGAGTATCAAATAATGAAGTATTAGAGCGGTAGGTTCCTTGAACATCATGAGACTTACTTCCCAGATACAATCATTGTACCTAACAACAGCAAAAGTCAATCACTTGAATTTTGTGGTAATATAAGGACCTATGTTCTAGATTTCTGTGTGGAATTTATGTATTTCTGTTAAGAGATAAAAAATTCAGATGCTTGAAGACAGAGGTGTAAACATTAAACAATTCCAACTTTTTGCTACCTAGATCATTTACATTCTCATTCAAGACACTCAATCTCTCAAAACCTCTATTTTTTTGAGAACAAGAGTGGTTCCTACTTCGAGTTGTGATAATATTTTTGTCAATATAAGGTAATGAATTTTTTTTTTATTTAGGGGAAGGAGGATTCGAACATTATTCTTTAAGTAAGGAGATCATACACCAATCAATGAACTAAATGCTCAGCTGCCAAGATAATGGATTCTATTTCTTCCATTTTTTAATTTTAATTGAAGTGTACATTTGGAACTCCAAGCTTAACAAAGTAAAATGACAGTTTCCAGATTTACCTGATTCATGGGAAAAAAAATAAAACAGATTAAGCTGATGACATCTTGTTTTTATCATGACTTTCGGAATCTACAGAATCCGAAGGCACTGCTTAGCATTGTCTCTGCAGTATAAGAATAACATGGAGCAGATTCATTGTATATGTGACTGAATAGCATATAAGCAGCCAAAAGAGGATAAAAAGTTAAACAACATGTTTAGTGCAGCATCTTTCACATAGCTTACACGTTAAGAAAAGTTCAATTAAAAAAGTTAACTAAAATTTGCTCATACATTGACTTGGATCACACTGTTCCACTAATGCCAATTAAACTAAGAACATTGGCTGAAGTCAAGAAAATTCCTGCTTCAACAATATCCCATTCTAGTTTTGGTTTTTCTTTTAAGAGAACCTAAAACAATAAGGAAATTAATAAGAAATTGACCAAAAAGGGGAAACCTCAGCTCCTGTTGTTTTGCTTTAACGATTCAATGACTTCCATGATTGTCTTTATGGAACTCCCACCATTTCCAGTGGCTTTCCTAGCTTCTTCTCCTACCTTCTTGGCTCTACTCTTCAGCTTCGCATCTGTCATCAGCTCACTGATCCTTTTCTGAATCTCATCTGTTTTAACCAACCTCTGACCACACCAGCCCCATGTCCTATCCCATATTCCAAGCCCTGCCTTCTCCAAAACCTCTGCGTTCGCTCTTTGGTCCCCATGTTGAGGCCATGCCAGCATTGGAATCCCTCTCTGAGCTGCTTCCATCACTGAGTTCCACCCACAATGATTTACAAAGCCTCCAACCGCAGGATGTGCTAGAATATCTTGCTGGTTCACCCACTCCTTTAATACCATACCCTTGTTCTTTGTTCTTTCTAGAAATGAAGAGCTTAACAAGTCTTCCAAATCTTCACTGTCATCCTTGTCAACTGTTTTCATCTTCAGTATCCAAAGGAATCGATACTCACTTTTTTCTAGTCCATCTCTTAATTCCTTTATTTGATCCTTTGACATGGCTGTTCTGCTTCCGAAGCTTAGAAACACAACAGATTCTGCTGGTTGGTTCTTTAGCCATGGTAGATACTGACCCTGGTCCTTCTTGAGCTCATAAGTTTCCAATGGCCCTATGGGGAGAATTGGAGGGAGATTTCTTAAAGCTCTCTTATTGTTGATTGCTGAAAGAGTTTCAGGCTCAAAGCAGTCAAATGTATTCATTAGAATTCCTTTGCAATCCGGGAGAGCTATGGCATTTGATACAAGGGTTGCTGTAAAAAGATGATCAGGGTTAAAGAATGGAGGTGGAATGCTTGATATAGGCAGTGGGGCTAGGCCTGGTATCTCAATTTCAGTAGATCTGTCGCTCAGTCTAGCAGCATCAGATGTCAGGATTGGAAGATAAGCCATAAGAGAAAGAAACTTGACAGAAGTGGTGGATACAGTGTAATTAGGAATACCAAGATCAATAGCAACTTTGCTGACACCAGAGGCTACTACTAAGTCAGAAAAGATGGCAGAGAGAGGTGGCGATAAAGAAGATATTAAAGGATGTATAAGATGGGCAGAACGGCTAGTAGCTTTGAATTGGATGAAGAAAGGATCATCTGTAGTGGTATTGGAAGGTTGCATAGGAGGAACTTGGAATTCAATATGTTTGATTTCTGGATGTGTTGAAAGAAAGAAAGAAATATATGTGGACTCGGCTACTGATACAGTAGATTTAGTAGTGATCAGAGTTACCATACAATTGTGTGACAATAGCACGGAAGCAAGACGGAGAAAAGGGGTCAGGTGACCCATTCCAGCACTTGGAAAGAGAGCAATGTGAGGCTGGGATGTTTCAGAACCTTGGAAAATCGACATTTTGGCAACACAAATATCTGAGGTAAAGGTTCTTTGGGAACTTATATGCATTTATACACGAGCAGATGGATATTGATGGAATATTTCTAAGTTTAATTTCCTCTAATGGAGAGACATTTTAGTACTGAAATCTGTGGTAGCTTTAACTAGTTTCTCCTCGTGACAGTTTGACAGTCAGGTCAGGATTTCTGATCAACTAACATTCAAAGTGGATGCAGTTAGGCATTCTTCTAATGGGATTGAAAATCATATACATTGACTTGATGAACTAACTTTCAAAGAGGGGAACTATCGTTTATTGTCCTTGATTCTGGTTTTCTGGGAGCCAGTTACCGCCCAATAACCATGAAAAGAGCTCTCCTCGAGATTTCCCATTTTTGTCTGATTGCTGCTGCAAATGTTATTAGAATAGGTTTCCTGTTGGATATACAGTATTGTAATATGAAAAAATAGAAGCAACTTGTTCGTTTTCTTTTCTTTTTTTATTAAACTGTTATCCTGTGAACTTTTGCAGATGAAATCAGTGATTAAGAGCGGCCAATACTGAAAGGAGTGGCCTGATATTTCTAGCAGACTGCCGAAAAATGGTTAACTGATTTGACTCCCAACCCGCTGAGGATTTTCGACTTGTTTGATTCCTGCTCGAGACCAAACAGTTGAATTTTGATGGCCAGGTGAAGCAAGGTAACCGAAGCAATTCCATAGTAAGACGAATTACGAGAGTATTAGTTTCAGAAACCGCAGTTCAATAACATTTGACAGCACTTGGGAAAATGTTCTGAGCAAAACAAATTCAGTGTTGATAATGCTAATAAAAAGCAGCAAGAGGGGTATAAATCATGTTCACTGCTGCAGCATCCTGCACTTGGATTACAGGTTAAGAAAGGTTGGAATAAAAAACTATTTGCTATGCCAATTTGATATCTTGAAATTGGATCACTTTGCTCCACTAATGCCAATTTAGCCAGGAACATAAGTTCAAGTCAAGACTCAAGACTCTCTTTGCTAGAATTGCACCCCATTCCCTTTTTTAAAATGAAAAAAAATGGTCTAAAATAATTCTGAATTTGTGCTGCAACTCCTGCTAATTTAACCATTTTTATGTAGCATAGGTCAAACAAGGTTCATAATTGGCTTTACTGATACATTAATACTATATTAAAGGGTTATTAGTAGTTAAAATTTTCCCACTAATCATTCCCATGAGGACACATAAACGAAAAAAAAAAAGAAGGAAACCCGCAAACGACATCGTTTGTGTTGTAAGCCACTTCGCTTCCAAACCTGTCCAAATATCCTAGCCATGAGAAAAACCCTTGAATTAAAAGCTTCCATCAACTGCACACTGCAACTCCTTGGCGCCAAACCCAGTCCCAACTGATTTTTTTTTCTCTGTAAAGACCCCAAAAAAGTAATGAGTGCTTCTAAAACCCTCATCCGTACACCGTTATCTACTCTTCAATCCAAACTTGACTTGAACCTCAAACCCCTCTTCCTTCCTCTCTCTCTTCGCCCCCTCACTTCAGGTACGTTTCATTTCTCTCTCATCTCATATACCTTTTTTTAAAACATTTTTACAACAAACAAAACCCATTTTTTCTTGTTATTTGCAAAATTAGATAACCTTGATGATTGGGGCTGGATTTTTTTTTCTTTTTGGAAAAACAAAACCCCATATTTTGTTTTTCCTCTTTTCATGTTCTTTTGTTTAAATGCAATGCCTTTTTCTTTTATTGATTGAGAAATGCAAGATCCAGATATGATTGAGTTTAGATGAAAGAACCCATCTTTTTATTTATCCTACTTTGGGTTTTGTTTTGGTTAAATGCAGCTCCTTTATGCAGTAGAATTTGTTCTAGTAGAATCCGAACGAGGCCTTTCTCCGCGGTACAGGAAGCTGCCCCTTTAGAAGATGAATCCCCGGAAGAATTGGAAAAGGACACCGTGGAGCACCTGCTGACTCACCAAGATGATGTGGCAAGGTTGATGAAAATGGAGAGGAAATCTGGGATGGAAGTACCCAGTAAGTGGTTTCCTTACTTGGATAGGTTTAAGTGTGGGAGTGACTACCTGACCAGCAGGGAGGTGCTGGAGGCGGTGGGACCATATTTGATGGAGGAGAGGAAAGAAAGGTTGAAGAGGGTGGTGAGAAATAGGAGCTATTCAGTTTGCTTGGTAGTTGAGGGGTTGTGCGATTTTGGCAATGTTTCGGCCACGTTCAGGTCTGCTGATGCACTAGGGTTGCAGTCAGTTCATGTGGTGTCATGTGACAGCTCAAAAAGGTGGTAAGAGGTTTCATGCCAAAAGGGTTTTGTGCTGGGTGATGGTTGTTAATTCGACAGTTTTAAGTTGTTATGCCTAATTATTATTGCATATTAGAGCAAATTGTTACTTTGATTAGCTTTATGTATTGTGTTTTAAGTTGGTTTAGGATGAACATTGGATTAATCTATTGCTTTTCTAACATCAAATGTATATTGCAGATACAGAGACAACCGTCATGTTAGCATGGGTACAGAGAAATGGTTGGACATCGAACTCTGGAAGTCTCCCAAAGAGTGCTTTGAAGTTTTAAAATCACGTGGTTATCAGATAGCTACAACACATGTAGGGATGGATGCGGTATTGATCATTTTACCATCTTTGGTTGTACTTACTACAATTTTTGTGTGTAGGATAAATAAATGTATTTTATCCTTATATCAGAATGCACCTTTTTCCTCTTAAATCAGGTTTTGATCGTCACTGACAATATAGAATTTTTGAACAACTGGATGGCCACTGGTGATCAAACTTCTAGGGGTCTAAGTCTGCAAAAATATGCCATTGACTATTGCTTCTATTTTCAGGTATCCATATACGACATGGACTGGTCAAGCCCAACTGCAATTGTAGTTGGGAATGAAAATAGGTAACTTACATGTGTAAAATTCTAATCTTTTTTTCTATGGTAGTTTGTTGGTTTTTCAAGTGTGCTGCTCCTATACCGTATATGATTAGCATTAGAATTTAGTAGTTACATTCTGAGTTAAATTTTCTGTAGTTCATAACAACATCAAATATCTAGCTGAAAACAATAAAACAAAACGAGGAAAAATTTATTAAAGACTATTTGTTTATGATTTTGTCATTCCAAGTCCATCTGAAGCCCTAGTTTTGTGAATATGTTTTAAGTTTGTGATATAATATGCATTATTTTGCTTCTGTAATGTGGCCAAATTTTTTGTCACGGTGCTTTCTATTCCTGTCTCTTTTGATGTTAGTTGAGGTTGCTGGGACCCTGATTGCAGGGGAATAAGTGATGAGGCCCTAGAACTGTCAGATTTGCATTGTAGTATTCCAATGAAAGGCATGGTGGACTCTTTCAATGTTTCAGTGGCTGCAGGCATAGTCATGCACCATGCTGTTTGTGACAGAACAACTCGCCTGGTAATATTTACTCCCTATTTTCATAGATATTTTACGGATTTACTAATTGTGATTGTTCTATCATTCTGAGTCTTGTGGGATCATAGAGATAGTAGAAAATATGTGCAGAAACCTCTTTCTACATAAAACTCTGAAAGAACCTATTGCTCCATACTTATGTTTCCCTGGTCTATGGCATAAGATTGTTGTTGTTGATGTGACAATCCAAATTTATTTTTGCTATGCACCGAGGAACGTCCTGTGTCTATGTATGTGGAATGTTTATAGTTTACTTTTACATTGTTAAGAGTCCCATTCAAGTCGCAGGAGTTTTCTTGATGTGTGTGCCAAACTGAGGGATGTTGAATTACATTTTACTCTGTTTATTTCTATTTACTTTCACATATTTAGCATCCTTGTTCAAGTTTCGGACGGTTTCTTATTGAGTGCCATTGAGCCTTGAGCTAGATAAGTAAAGATAGCCCTCTGCATTACATAAACCGCAACCCCTTTCGCATGGTTTGATTGTGGGATCTGCAAGTTGAAGTGTCCAAAGTTCTATCGGTGGGGTCATTCCTTTTGGGACATAGTTTCTTTGATAATTATGCATCTAGTATTTGCAATGAAGTCATTTGTCTGCTTCAATTTATAGCAATTACATATTTTTCATTCTAAATCAGGGTTGTCATGGTGATCTGAATGAGGAAGAAAGCCAAATCTTACTTGCGGAGTTTTTGTTGCGTCATAATAATAGCGCAATTAGCATAGCTAATGAGTATGCTAAGCGGAAGGCCACTATGGCAGTGCCAGGGCTGTGATGGAGTAGTCAACTGCTGGATGGATGATTCACCATTGTAAGATAATCATAAATTGCAACATAAAAATCTGAGATGTGGCTGCTGAGAAATGGAAAACAATTCATTTCAAGCCACCCAAGAAAAGGACCAATTGATCAAGCTGGTAGATTAAGCGAGACTTGTCAGATGTAATGCTGTGTAGTCAAAGAATGCAACTTGGTAGTGTGTCACGGTCTAGATATGATTTATCATTGTAGCTGCTATAAGTGTTTTGGTGCAAGGACATTTGTAGTGGATTGTTTTCTTATAGTTTTAAAGAGCTTCAAACATTTTTGCAATGAAGAAAAATGAAATAGTAATTGTTTAAGTAAGCCTTTTCTTTCTATTTGCTAAACGATGATCCAATACCATCATACGGTATAATTCATTTCTGGCACTGCCTTTGCTGCGAGCAGAGATAGAAGCGGCAGCTTTGGCTCACTGCATGCCCAACATTTTTAACAAGATGATGATAATGCAGAATTTGAATTATTTTCATACCAGCGTAGGTTCCTTCGTGCCACCGCAAACAGAGCGGAGCTAAGCTCATCTTCATTGGAACTTAAGCATAAAACAATTGGATTATTCATACATGTATTTGATTTCATATGGTTTATCCTTTTTGTGCAGTATTGTTTCAGAAACTTTACTGGCTAAGACACTTCAAGGATTTTCCCAGTGAGGTTGACTTCTATATGAAATATGATTGACATTTAGACTAGATACATTGCACCTGTCCACCATTCACAATAATATAAAACGTAATCCATCATCACAATGTAACCTTACAACGCCCGCCCTAGTCAATTAACATTTCCCCACTTGTTGGTTGTATTGTTCCCTTGGAGCTCTGCATGTTTAAACCTTCTCCACGCCTCTTCAATTCAGGGGACCTGATAAACTCCTCAATTCGTGCCTTCAATTCAGTGTTTGGAATCAGCATATCCGCATTAAGGTGGGATCGATTGAATGGGTCAGTCTGCAATCATATTATTAAGTATTATCTATCAGCAAATTAACTATTTGGCAGAATTATCCTTAAAAGTGTAGACCCGTGAGAACATACACTATCACTTAGAAGATGTCTCTGGATGACAGGCCTGTCTATTGTGATCCTTGAAGATGGTAAAATCACTGGATCCTTCATTAAAGTATACTGCAGGAAAGAAGAGAACCGGTATTTTCTGTGGTCAGTGATCCTTTTTCATTTGCTTTTCTGTTTTGACAAAGTACTCACTAAATGGGCACATCCACCCAAACCCCGAAACTAAGCAAATATTTAGGCATGCAGGACACCAAAAGAAATAGCATAGCTGGAATGGTACTAACAAGAATAATTTCAAATTTTGACAACAGGTAAATAAACATACTTGAATCGGATCAAGGAATTCATCGGGTATATCTCCAAGGGCAGCTTCAGCGTCCATGGCCTCAGAAGCTGCAGCTTTAGCCTTTGCACCAAGTTCAATAAAATCTTCTATAATCCTCCCATCCATGCCAATTCTCTGAAGCACGTCTGCTGCAGCACTAAACAACTGGAGCAAACTTGAATTTTCAGATTGTGTTTTCTACAACTTAAAACATTCTAATATATCCATAAAAGAAACTTATAACTTAAAACATTTATATATATATATATATATATATATATATAGCTAGTCCACAGCTAACAATTACCTGTTCATTGTATGAACGACCATCACTGGAGATAGCCGCCGGAAATATGTTTTTGGCATCACCCCTTGCCAGATGAACATATATGTGGACGATCTTAAAATAAATAAAAGAATAAGAGTTAGTGCATAACTCTTTCCATTCTTTATCAACACCAATTGTTGGTTCAAAACAATCAAGCAATTGGCAGGACAAAAAATATCAGTTAAGGTCAAAGTGACTTTTTGAGCAAATCAGTAACCTCCTCCTTCCTCTTTATATTAGTATATGCCAAAATGAAAAATCCACTTTATGCCAACCTGCGTGAGTAATTCTTTTGGACGGAACTCATACTTTTCAGGGACTTTCAGACTAAGAGATTTTCTTTGGGGGCCCACTAGTTGCAATAAAAAGTAATTGAGCATGCTGGCCACTCTTTCAACCTGCAAAAAGGAAACAAGGAATGAAAATTGATTAAGTGAAGATAGAAAAGAGACAACAACGTAAACTTCATTATTAAAAAACACAGTAACAACTTGTCAGCATAAATTTTAAGGATAACAAGCATAGGTCCAGATGAAAAGATGTTACCATCTCAGGAAGTAGAAAAGGAGCTGTAATCTGCTCAGATGTAAATGCCAGCATACTAACATCCTCATTAGCCAACTTCATATCAATCCGTATAATCTGAAAATAATCAGTCATATATGTTTAATTGAAGTCTAAATTCAAAAACATGAATCATGCATACACATTTTAAGGGGGAAAAGGGAAAAGAAATACTGACGTTCTCCTGGGAGTGGAATAGTCGAGTTCTCTCTTGCCTTTCCTGAGCTGATCTGCGCTCCCATTCTGCAGAATTTGACATCTCAGCTTCAAGCTCTTTGAGTTCAAGAATTTTGTTGAGACTTTCATCAAGGAGGTAGATGCTATCGTTGATCAGGAAGTTCAAGAAATTCAGATAAACACCCTTTTCTTCTTCCTTAGCAATCTGATATTGAATATTACAGTTCAATTTAGGAAATGCATTGATTGTTCAAACAAAAACACAAACCATCAACAAATGCCACATGTACCAGCCCATGAAGAAGACCCTACCTGTTTCCACGCATTACGATGACTAGGAACTTGCCAAAGGTATTCAAGAAGTTCAGCAATATTATGGCGGATGTTGAACTTATCATAGAACTGCGTATAGAGAAGATACAAGCAGTGTAGTTCATCAAAGGTGGCCCACAACCACATTGGAGACATGCAAAAGTCAACAAATTATAACCTTAAAGAAACAGGTAACATGATATCTAGAACTAAATTGTTAACAAATTATCTCTCTTTATCAAATTTAATGCATATAAGTTACCTGTGTATGAGAACCTGTGAACTCAATGTCAACATAAAGCTTCAAAAGATTCCTCACAAGATATTCCAAGGACAATTGATGCCCGTCAAATAGTGTAGATGTGGCAGATGAACTGCTGGAAAGAAGGAAGCAAAGTAGTGTAAACTTAGGGAAAATTTCTTAAGGTAGAGACATGTGACAACAGTATATATCTTTCGAAAGAGATTGAATAACCTTCCACGGGGCATCCAACAGTTCAAAACTTCAACCATTTTTGCTCTGAGATAGGGGTTCTTGATAAATTGAGGACTTGCCATAAACATAATAATAAAATTCATAAAGTCATCCTGCCAAGCAAAAGGCAAAATAAATAAAATAAAACCATAATCGTAAGAATGAACATGAGGTATAATGAAGCACAAAGCTATCTCATATAAATCCTACCAGTAAAACCCCATCCAAAGTTCTTGGAATCCGGGAGGCAAATATTAATAGTTCCATAGCATCTTCCACAAAGTGCTCTGGCATCGAAGCAAATTCCATTGGACAAGTAGATGGTAGAGGCATTTTAAATCCGCCAACCAAGCCAACTAACCAAACCACCATTAGTCGATAGAATGAAAGTGCATGTTGAATAAGTGCCCCATCCTTGTGAAAAGAAGCAAGCAATACATCAAAATACTAACAAATTTATAATTTTTCCTTTTCTCAATATCTCAATAACAAAGATTTTACAATCATAAAAATACAAAATCTCCTATTCCAGAAGGGGAAAAAAATCCTATTATATGGAAGAAGAGGGAAAACAACAAAGAAAAACAAAGAGAAAAGGGCACTCTTATAACATGGAGAAAGGAAGAGGCATAGGCTTTTGTTTCTCTTGGAATCTTCTTCTTCTTATTGTTTCTTCTTTTTTCTTTCGGTGTCAAAGGAGAATAAGGCAGAAGGGGGGGAATAAAAGTGATCACAACTATTCAAAGTGGCTAATGCAATGGTTCAAAGTTTGAACATTTTGACACCCTAAGACTGTACAAGATAACATAGCTTCCAATTAACAGAAAAGATATTAATTCACTTTAAAGTTCAGTAGACAAGCAAACCCATGTGTATTTGTTGGTGTGTTGAGCGTGGGCAGACACTTGGTGGGGAAGAGAGGGGATGTACCTTCAAAATTTGAGCCTCATAACAAAATCTTTCCTGCGAATGTAGTTCTATTTCTTTCTCAAGCCTAGATATATCCAGCTCCAGTTGTGAAGAAGGTGCCTGTCCCTGCATAGCTTTTAAGGTGGCAAGAGTATCTTCACATCTTGAAATGTCCTGGGTGGGGGCAAACCATATGTTGTCACTCATCAGAGAAGAAACAAGAGAACAGAAAAAGCTCAAGAATCAGTAACGCATTACCTGGACTAGATGCTTGAAGTCAGAAAATGCCTTTAGGAGGCCCAAGTTGAGTACCCTAGCAGTCATAAAGAAGCATTCACAAATAAATGGATATTTAGCTTTTTCACCACTACTTGAGGTTGGCTTCACACTGAGGGTACTTCCAGAACTGGTAGCTTCCTGAGATTGCAGCAGACGATTTTCACCATCGCCATGTGGTCTGGTCCCATCAGTTTTTACAGGATTATCTTTGTTAATCCATTCAGTAACTTCTTCTGAGGTTGCATGCAGAGCAGTTAGCCCCCTAACACAGGTTCATAGAGAATACTTAGGAAAAGAAGTCAATGAATATAACAGTTAAAAGCAAACTGATCTCCACTGAATAAAAGGTCCTCACCTCAAATCCAAACGATTACAGTAAAAGACATAGTTTGGATCAATCTTATCTCTTTTTGTTAAATTTGCATCCAAAAACGGTTCACAAAGTCGAAGCATAACAGCACTGAGATTGACAAACATTCCAGAACTAGCACAAGATATAGGATCAACCTATCATAGATGTCATCAACAACATTGACATTGTGTCAAAGAAACCAAGTATAAATATTCTTATACATTGAAAGCAAAATCAAATAAATGTAATTCAAAAGAGACACCAGCATTTCACTTAAAACATTCTTAGTAAACCAAAGAACAAATAGTCATCGATCAGCAATGCAGTATCAATGGCCATAATTGAGCTTTTGGTCATTGATAAGTATTGTAACTGCCACTCAAAAATGTTATTAAGGAGTGGTAAAAAATAGAACCTGTATATGGGCCCTGGATGCATTTTTATTGATGACTTCTGCAAGATACTCAAGGACACTCTCACGGGTCTCGGTATTTTTAAGGAGACACAGAAGAACTTCTGCCAGACCGTCATATAAAGTATTCATGATAGTCTTGATGAATGAGTTA